ATTAACACCAAACTTGATATGGGTTTTTGAGAGGAAGGCAAGGCATATAGACGTACAGAGCAAGAGAATGTTTGCTCAATCCTTGAGCAGACCTTTCTTCTTTGTTATTTGTTTTACTTTTTGCAGGGCTGAGGATGGAACCTAGGGCTTGTGCATGCTAGGCAAATACTACCACTGATCAACACCAATCCCCACTTCTCTATGATTTAAAAATTATTTAGTTACTTATATTTTAATTGACAATAATTGTACATATTTATGAGGTACATGGTGATTTGATTCATGTGTACATGTGTAATAAACCAGGGTAGTTAGCATTTCCATACTCTTATGTGAAAGTGTTCATAACCCTCACTATTTGCTTTATTTTCTCTGCCTGATTTTTTTCCTTTTGAAACCTGCTCCCATCCTTAGTCTTGAAAATTGCACTTAGTTTATGGCATATAGATTACAGGTTATATGTACTTAGCAGTTAGACCTCAAACACTGAGGGAACATGGGCCGAATCCTTCCCTCCTCCTCTGTCTTAATTGGCCATAAAAACTATGGAAAAGGATACAGATGGGTTTATCTCATGACACTAAGCTGCCTGGTTCCCACATTCTGTGTGTCAGTTAGCCAGATGTGTAAGAAGGTCTTGTAACATTCCAAAGCAATGATAGTGTTTCAAAAAGGTGGTCTCCATATATGGGAGTATATAACAGAAGGGAACAAAGGAATTGAGGCCAGCCAGCCAGTAATCAGCAGTTTCCGTGGCCAAAGCTGACTGATCACTGCAGTTTCGAAATACACCTCACTTGTTTCTAAATCTCAGTGTCCTGTGAGTAACTTTCTTGACCATGCTACAACATTTAAACATTAATAATTTCTTCATGTTTGGAATTCTTCAAACTCCTATTTGGAGCACAATTTTAATGTAAAAACACATTTATAAAATAGCAAACTTACAGATATTTCACGATCAGTTAGAGGTCTCTGATCAAGCTTCTGTTCTACTGCTTCTGCTGAATTCACTTCCACTGATCTTAACAGTGACTAAAGACCAGGTGCATACCTCTGATGAGCACTGAATCAAAATAATTGTGTGTATCTTAAGGCACCTTGGGCTAGTCAAGGATACCCTGTAAGAACCCCCTCCCTGAAATGTTTCTATATTATTCTATACTCACTCTGTAAGAGTCCCCTCCCTTTGTTCCTGGAGCGTTTCTATATTATGATAAACAGTTCTTTTGTTTCAGCAAATCTGTTCAAGACAAGCCTGCCTGTCAATATGACTCAATGCATGTAACCAATTATGTAATGTTTTGTCACTTGATTTGTACCTCCCACTTCTAAATTCTATATAAACTAAGCTCTCTGTGAACTATTGCAGTTCCCTTTGTGGAATTATCCTGCTACAGTCCACTGGTGTGAAGATTCAACAGTCCGCCGCCAGCATAAAGATTAAATGATGCCTTCTTATTTCCTCAGTGCAAAGAGTCTTAGTTTTTATTTGATTTGGCTTGGGAATTTTCCCACAACACTATAAAATATTCTTAACTTCTTTTTCTCTGTCCCAAATAGTATCCAAAATGTCTTTTATGTAGTGAGTTTTTTGACCCATGTTCCATTGTTATTCAACTATGCCTGTTGCCTGGGAAAATGACACACAATAGAAAATGGAATGATATTTATTATGTAGCCAATATTTAGGACTTTTAGGGAAAAGCCACCTTTTTTTGTCTAATGTAGAGGAAGTCAGTTATCTACTTATTTGCCCTCCAGACTTGGGCTTTGAAAAGTTCTGTGCTTGCATCTAACAAGCTGTTATTGTCACCACAAACCTCTAAAGTACGCAGTGCTATTATTATCCCTGTTAGATGAGGAAACTGAAGGACTGAGATTAGGTTAATTGCTCAGTATTACTAGTTAATTGTTAGTTTTAATCTAGGCAGTCTGGATTAAGGGCCTATATCCTTAACACATAAAATCACATAGTGGGTGCTATAAATATCTATATATGAAGAATATTATGCAAAAAACCAAATTATAACCATGTAAAAAAGATTCTAGTACACATGTGTACTTCATACAGTGGCCATGTTCCTCAAATTGGATACAAATATATTCTTTGTAAATGTCATGCATTTTTACCAGTATGCCCATCATATTGTAGTTTGAAATCTAACCCATACTATCTCCCCTCAAAAATCAAAAATTCCTTCTGCTCACAGATTCTTGGGGTGACCATTTTTTTGTGTTCATATCTTTTTATGTCATAGTAATAATCACTTTCTAAATTGTTAGACTTTATATGTTTAGTTATGTAACCTACTTGGTTTTTTTTTATAAAGCTGGAAGAACTGGCAAATATCCTTTAACATATCCTGTTGCATTTCCCTGCAAATCACACGTCCACTCACATTCCTAATAACAAGGCTAGAAAGACAGATGGTGCCCTCTTCTAGGGTTTTGGGAAAGTAGAACGCATCACACCAGCCTGAGGGAATTTCCAGGAAATAACCATGTCAACTTCCCTTCATTTTGGTGATAAGAAGTTTTCATGTCATTTTCTGAAAACAAAAAGCTGACCTATTCAACCAGGTGAGTCTCCTGAAGCCTTGATGGATAAAGTGATGGAATAAAAATTTTGATGAACTTTAGAATGTGCTGAGCACATATTTTCTTGAGTCAGGTACATTTTACAAACACTTTAAAATACAGGTTATCAAACACAATTTTCCATTTATTTAAGATTATCTAGGTGCTTATATAATAATAATCTTGAAAAGTGTATTCCCAATTTATAGTTAAGAAAAAAAGATGCACAAAGGTTAAGCAATAGCACCCTAAATGGCAAAACCAGTAATTAAAACCAAAATCATTGTCTCTTCAGTGTAATATATTCTCTCTTTCTACTTCGAGTCTATATCAGAATCCTACCCAAAAAAGATGAAAGGGAAATGTTCTTGAGAGATACAAGCTCTTTCCAGTATCATGGAAACATCAAGGAGAACCATGCTCAAAATCTTAAATAAATACAGACCCTTGATAACTGTCCTACATAGGTTCTCTATCATCACCTGAACTTAATAAAGTCATATTTATTGTACTGTCAATCCAGTACTGATTTCAGTACATACTGTACTGAAATCATAGCTTATGTGATTTTACACTGCATTTTCCTGATTTTCATTACATATTTGCATATTTGTTGGTTATTCAGCTTTTGCCTACTGTAGACCATCTGTGTATGTACCTTGCTTGTCTATTATTATAGATAATATAAACGATCCTATACTAGGCCCACAGCAACTCTGTGGGTAAGCCAGCCATACAGATGACGAGACTAAGGCTGAGAAGACCTTACTTAAGTTTCATGATCTGATAGTTTTAAGTGGAAATCTAGAGATTATTGGTATTTAAGCAGAGATCCTTAACCAGTATCTTTTTGTTTTACAATACATGTTAGAACCGGCAGTCATGTAAGAAAAAATAGAAAAGGAGCAGATGATTTCAAACATGTAACTATGTGTCACATGTCTATTTGTACGTTTTAGACCATATGCCATGTATCTAATGTGGATTTGCACAAATTAACATAGATTAGTTACTTGGATTTTCATAATAACCTGTGAAGTAAAATGTGTCATTTGTATCATATAGGAAAGGAGAGTGAGGCTCAGAGAAGTGAAGAAATTTGCTCTAAACCAGTTGAATTACATCCAATAAGAAATAGACTCATAACTCACATAATACAGTTATCTCATTACAAAAACTGGCTGGTTCTTTGTGGCTGACTTGGCTTCATCTAATTACCCAGCAAAATGATAAACACAAAGGGAGAGAAGAGGCACCTGGCATATATTTTCTAGTTCTTTTAGGAAACATAGAATTGTTCCTTTGACCATGTAAATGTCAATCTACAAGACTGTTGTAGTCATCAAGAGAATGAGTATTGTCAAGAAAGGAATGCTCGACCAGTGTTACGATGGCAGAGCTAGAATGATCTACAGTATCATTTAGCATTCTATTGGCACTGCAAACAATTTAAGGGCAGGGTTCTCACCAGAAGAATTAATGTGGGTACTGAGCACATCAAGCTTTCTGAGAGCCAAGATAACTTTCTGAAATGCATAAAGAAAAATAACTGGGAAAAGAAAAAAGTAAAAGAAAAAGACGCCAGGCTGGGGATATAGCTCAGCAGCATAGCACCTGCCTGGCAATCAACAGGTTGTGAGTTTGATTCCCACTACAAAAAAAAAAGAGACAAAGTTACCTGGGCTCAACTCTATTATCAGCCTGCTTTGCCCAGAGAAGCATAATGCCTAAGGGAAAGGAACTTGAATTTTTGGGCCCTATTCCCTATGAATTGATGTTAAGAAATATAAGATCTTTCATAAACAAAAAATAACCACTTCCCAACTAAAGTCTATTGCTGTTCCACAATAAAGTTGCCTGTCCATAAATTTTACTGTTATGAAGTAAAGTCTTCCCACAAATCAGGCCTAATTCATCATCTCTTTAACCAGGTCTTGACCTGCCAAACTTCTTTTCAGAACCCCAAGAAACTTAGGAAAAGCCAAGTCTACATCTACCATGTTTCTTCAGAATCCTGGCCCAGGGGCAGCCTTTAGCAACTGGCTCATCCATGCTGTCTCCCATTAACCAGCTAGGATAGGTGAGATCTCACAGATTCATCTACCAGTGACTCAGGCTTCTTCAGTAAAACTCATTGATCACTTTCTATGGAAAATCCAAACAATTCCAAGTTGGAATTTTCAAGCTTAGCTACACTTTAAAACAAATCTTGATCCCCTCACATTGCAGACCCTTACATCACAATTATTGTGGAGTGATATCCAGGAATTTAGAATAATGGAAGCTCCTCAGGTGATTCTAAAATACAATCAAGATTGACAACCATTGGTAGGTAAGCCCTCTTATTTAAACTCAGGCAGCCGCAATCACTGAAATCTGACTTTGGCATTTTAGCATTCATAGCAAATTCCTAGAACAATTGATACTCCCAGTGAGTTCGTGTTTGAGTCAAGATCCAAAAATTTGCATTCTTAGCAATCATCCCAGATAGTTTCACTACAAATTAGCAACAGACCGTATTTTGGGAAGTGCTACATTAGAGGCATAGAAATGGGACAGGAGCAAGAGCCCTGTGGCCCTTTAAGGCTTGATTAAGGGCATGTGTTTAAAGCTGTAGTGATTAGCAGGCCAAAAGTATTTATTTCACCCTCTGGGCTAAGGTAAGTGAGCAAGTTCAGGAGTGGACCTCCTGTAAGTTACCTTTGCCTCTTGAAGTACATCATGTACCCTGCCCTGAAGAGTGGGGAAGGCATGGTTACTTGTTTATCTGCTCTTTTGTTTGTTTCAGGTCAACAGGCCAAGTCTGGAGACCTGCTTTGGCTTTGGAGATCTTTGCATAGAAAGCAAAATAGGACCTGCCCACCCCCCTTTTTTTTCTTGGCCCATCTTTGGTGGTTGTGGAGCTAGGCTATCACCTAGCTCCATACCTGCATGAAAGAAGGGTCACAGTGTTGTTATCCTTTGGGTTTAGGTTGGAAGCTATTGCTGAATATCAAGCCTTTCAAGATGGTTATCCACAGCAATCTTAGACTCCTCTTTCTTTTTGTACTGATGCTTTATTTGGAAGACAGAGTCCAAATGGCAGAGGTGGGACAGACCTCTATTAACTTCCAGGCTGAGAGTCCTAACTTGCCACCTGATGTAACCCCTGTAATGCCCCTTGTTGAGAAGCTGCTAGAAGAAACCCCAGGAAAGGAACAGAGAAAGCCAGACCTCCAAAGGCCTCCCCTGCAGTACATGCTGGAGTTGTACCAGCGTTCAGCTGACTCGGATGGGCACCCTAGGAAAAACCGTACAGTTGGGGCCACTATGGTGAGGCTGGTGATGCCCTCAGCCAATATAGCAAGGCATCTTAGAGGTGAGTTCTTGGGTCCCCATACTGGGGAGCTGGGAGAAGTGGAGAAATCTGCAGAAGACAAGGAATACAATCAGCCCTTATTGTTTGCGGGTGGATTGCTTCCTCAGGCATGGAATCAAAGGGTTCCTAGTTTGGGGAAAGCTGGTATAGTCCTTTTTAGGGCCCCCAATTTAGAACTAGATTGCACTGGGGCTTAGTGAGGAGTGTTTCAAGCCCCAAGGCAAATAAGGAATATGAACTTCCCCCATCTTTCATAGAAATCTGATTCTTATAACTCTAAAAATTGTATTTGAGAAACATCCAGCTGCATTCTTGGGTGGTTTCTATATGAGGTTATTTTCTCTTAGAGGCTGAGCCTGGGAAAATGCATAAAGTCTCAGAAAGAACAGAAATGAGCTAATATTTGAGGATCTATATACATGACTGTATGAACATGTTATTGTACTTAATCTTTAAGAGAGCAGACTACCATTTGTTGTCATAGCAATTACTTTGATTTTAAAGGTAGAAAAACTAAAATAGATTTAACAGCTTGCAAATTTCACACAAACAGTTGGTACAGAGATACTGTTTGAGCTCAAGACTATCTGTCTAACTTCTCAGGTTTTAAATACAATATTCTAATATCCTTGTCCATTAAGCAATTTTCCTATGTAGACTATGTTGCTATTTTGGAATATTGGCTCTAAATGTGCTTTGGAATTTTCCTTGTCTTCATTGGTGTTTGATTTCATTTTTGAAAACCTGCATTAAACTGTTCCAAGATACCAGCTCCTGAAGTGTAGGTCTCTCTACAGAGTGTAGAAGGCCATCAATTTGAAGAAACTCTGGAGTTCTTCATGAGATCAATCTGGGGATTTCTCTAATCTCTGATGACCATAGAAAAAACACCAAAATTTACCTAGATACCTTTGCTGTGAGTGTACATTGTCCCAGGCATTTTACAACACATTTTTTCAAATATTATTGCCTTTAATACTTGTGACTACTAGATATAGTAAGTAGGATTAATATAACTATTTTATATGTGAGGAACTCAAGGCTCAGAACAACTTCATCAGTGTTACCTGGCTAGTAACTGATAAAGCTGGGTGTCAAACCTATGCTCTCAGGCCCCAGAACCTATGCGTTTAATTGCCTTACTCTGTGGAATACCCAACAGATTTTAATTGAGCAGTAGGCACTTCAGAGTGGAAGTGTAGAAGAATGGGTAGACAATCACATAATGATGTTATGGTATTTAGAATGATCTGAAGAAGTTAAGCAACAAGACTCCAAGGATACCAAAGAAGAAACAGCTTACTGTGTGGAGCAAAAAAGGGAAGTAGGGTGAATATTAAAGAGCCTCATATAGGAGGCAACATTTGAGCTTGAACTTGGAGAAGTAGAAAGGTGAATATGCATACAGGTAGAGAAGTATGTTTGACTTAGGAAAGAGAAAATAGCTTGGTGTGGATGGAGATTTATTAAATGAATATTTATTCAGCACCTAGTGAGTGTTAGGTAAATAGACATGATTAACACAGATAAAACCCTTACTGTCATGGAACATATGTTCTTACATGGGAAATAGATAAGCCAATATAGTTAAATCATTGCAAATTATAGTAAGTAGTAATAAAATAATGAAATAAGATTGTTGTGTTGTAGAATAGTGGTACTGTCCTACTCTTTCTATAGAGTTATAAGTGAAGGTATTTTGGCAAAGGTGACATTTTAGCTGAGATGTACAAACTAAGAAGCTAGGCATAAGAAAGTAGAGAAAAATTTCGTTTAAATGGAACGAAAATATGCAAAGCCTTGGAGCAGTGATGGAAAACCTTTTAAAGATTTCAATAGTAAGCAGCTGGCTGCAGCACACATGCTGTGGGTTCACACTGTGAAACAAACTTGTCAAGTATCAGTGTGACAGGAGCTAAGTAAATGTTGTGGGCATGGCAAAATATGAGGTTATGAGAAGCAGGGACTTCTAGGCTCAAGGGATCTGGATTTCGTTCATAAGTGCAGCAGACAGCTGGGAGAATCAGATTTCTACAGAAGATAACAGGTTAAAAAGGAAGTTGCCTAGAATTTGGCAAGTATTCTGGGGTGACTTAGAAACATTCTGACATCTGGGGACTCTGTAAAAGACCCAGAAGATGACCGGTTCAATCAAGCAGAATGTATGAATAATCCCTTTACTTGAAAAGACCTAAGTAGACCTTTCTTACTCTGATGCTTACCAATCCCACCCTGTGTCTGGAAACAAATGATGTCCAGGTCTGAAAGGACATTTCCACACCAGAAAGCCTGCTGGAAGTTTAAGCTGGGTTCCTTTCCAGGGAGAGGGGAACAGATATATGGGTAAGTTCTTGGAAAAAAATCTTGTTAGATGGGATTGTGGGATAACTTGAGAAAACAAATAGAAGCCTGGCTTGGACTTCATGTAATTGGTGGTTGGTGTCCCAAACATGAGGGTATAAATGGAATGTGAATATTTAAAAATATTCTGGAACATCAATACATAAAAACTAAGTCTAAAGTACCCGCGCTGCTTAAAAAGTTCAGGCCTGTGGATTACCTGGAGAAAAACCTTTAAGGTTGAGCAAAGGCTTTTTTCTATTGGTAGCTGGTTTTGTAATCTCTGTTCTTTACCTTTGCCTGAGGTAGAGGTAGAAGGTCAGAGCTTTGGACAGTGGATGTCAGTACTAGAGTTTAAAATAACTCTATTAATTAATAAGGGATATGCAGTTTTCATTAGGCTTCTCTGAAAACAAAATACAGTATTTATGTGATCAAGGACTTGTTAAAATAATGTTTAGGTAAGTGGTAGTAAAATTAATGGAGTAAATGGTGAACCAATCCCAGCAAGGAACAGAAAATGAGAGAAAGTGAAAGATAAAGAGAGAAATAGCCAAAGGAGGTAAAGGTATTCAAGAAGCAATTCTTTAAGCTGCTAGAATGTAGAAATGGCAAAAATAGCCGTTATAGATAAATTATTTTGGGTGTCTTAGCCCTAGATTTGACATGATGATAGGCATAGCACCCTATATTGTTTTGTTGTCCCAAAGCTTCCCCTGTATAATGATGTGACATAATGACTTTAACTCATATATGGCTCAACAACTCTCTTAATTGGTTATATAATACAGACATTCTTCATTTAATGACAGTTTAGTTTCAGCAACTAGGTTGTTAAATGAATTGGTTGCCAAGTGAGGAACTGTATATAGTATGTACAATATTGAGAACAAAGAAGCAGTCAAAGGAAACTCAAACTTTGCTTTTATTTTGAAAATACTGAAATGTGTAACAACGTAAAACTATAGTACAGTATTATACAGTACAATCAGCAAAAATTACAGTATTATATAAACAAAGTATACTATACAAGAAGGGCATTGAGGCTCTGTAAACAAAATCTATAGAACTGAAATAAAAATGAGTCCTAAGTCTAAAGTGTGCCTCTGTCATAAAGCTGAACAGTCATTAAATAGGTCATTAAATGAGAAATATCTGAGTAGTCAATAATATATTCCATGAATGGAATATAATGTATACTTGTGTATTTGAGTTTTTAACCTTCGAATATAGCCCTGTGAGTGAACTCAAAGTGAAAACACATTTCCTTGATGGAAACAGACTTGGGTTCAAATCTTGATTTTTTTTTTACCACATAATAACTGTGTGTCCTTTATGTTTTTTGATTTGTGATTCTGGGGATTTAGAACAATGCTACTAGGAAAGTGCTCTTCCACTGAGACATATTCTCAGCCTTTGGCTCTGTGTCCCTTGTAAGTTTCTGTGAGCCTCAATTTTCTTGTTGGCAAAATGGGGATAAAAAATATTCCAGGCCATTGAGGATTAAAGAGTTTATAAACATGAAGACCCCATTATGTTACCAAACACTCAAACTATAGGCACTATAATTTTCTTGGGTTAATTTTCCGACTGAGGACATCTGTCAGTCTATATGGACAATTTTATGAGGGCTATACAGGCTAGGAGGTAAAGAAGCTAATCCTTGCCCTTTGCTCTCTTATGAAGGTTCCTGGCATATATGGACCCTGAACTTTCTACTAGGACGTAACCGGGTAGCTTACCAACTAGTGAGAGCCACTGTGGTTTACCGCCATCAACTCTACCTAGCTCCCTTCAGCCTCTCCTGCCATGTGGAGCCATGGGTCCCCAAAATCCCAAATAACAACTCTTCAGGAAGAGATTCCTCACAGCCATCCCTGATGTCTGAAACCTGGACAGAAATGGATATCACCCAACACATTCAGCAGAGGCTCTGGAATCTCAAGGGACAGAGGGTCCTACGGCTCCGTTTTATGTGTCAGCAGCAAAACAGTAGCAAGGTTCTTGAGTTCCGCTGGCATGGCATTTTGTCCGTGGATGTTGCCTTCTTGCTACTTCATCTTAATGATACTCATAAAACTGCTCAGAAGGCTGAACTTGTTCCTAGTGGCCTGGAGAAGTTTATAAAAGGGGAATCTTTTCTCTTGAGGAAAGCTCGGCAGATAGACAGTGTTGCATCTGAGCTTTCTGCCTCCTCCTGGGAACTGGATAAGTCTGAAAATAACCAGTGTTCCCTCCACCCTTACACAGTCAGCTTCCGTCAGTTGGGCTGGGATCATTGGGTCATTGCTCCCCACCATTATACCCCAAATTACTGTAAGGGAACTTGCCCTCGAGTACTACACTACGGTCTCAATTCCCCCAATCATGCCATCATCCAGAACCTTATTAATGAGCTGGTGAACCAGAGTATCCCTCAGCCTTCCTGTGTCCCTTATAAGTATGTTGCCATGAGTATTCTTCTTGTTGAGGCAAATGGAAGTATTTTGTACAAAGAACATGAGGGTATGATTGCACAGTCCTGCACATGTAGGTGAGAATGAAAGTACAGCTCACTGTGGATTCACATGAAATTGGAAAATGGTTTAAAAGAAATAAATATCACTGTTAAAGCTGAAATAGCTTTCTCTCAATCTGTACGTTCTCTTCCTTGCCTCAAGTGTTGGTACTTCATTTTCCTTCTTTTGCAAGCTATTCAGTTTATAAAGTTGTTTTGATACCAATCTTCTGGCATGCATAACTATGATTTCACCACCCTTGAGAGCCTTTAATTCCTGGGTATAAAATGCTCTTTTGAGGGGCTGGGGATTTAGCTCAGCGGCATAAGCACCTGCCTTGTACGCAGGCAGTCATGAGTTCGATCCCAAAAATGAAAAAGACCAAAAAAAATGCTCTTTTGGAGATGTGCGTTTTTTTGTTCTTGTTTTTGTTTTGTTATTTAAATGACATTATCTGAAGTCTTGGCTCATAATGTTAAACTTTACAAAATTTCCTGGAAAAACCTAAGGAAGGTGAAGTCTTCCTAGTATCCATTTTCTTATTTAGGGTGGTAAACGTGGCTTTAGATTTTATTTATTTATTGGTACCAAGAGTCAAACTTATGACCTCATGCTTGCCAGGCAGGCACCATGACACTGAGCTATATCCTGGCACTTGGTTTAAATTTTATAATCTCTTTTTTTCCCCTCTAACTCCTAGAAATCACTAGCAACTCCCTACTTCTGTGCTTGTGCTGCCTTCTACTGTATCTTATCTCAGATGTACTAGAAAACTTTATATGAAACAAATTACTGAAACCTTTTAGCTATCATGTCAGGCTTTTTTTCTTAGCCTCTGAATGTGAGAAAAGTACATAGGACCCCTTCCTGTCCTAGCATAAATACAGCAGCCTTCAATGAGGCTTACAAAATATGAGTATGGAACTCTGAGAGCAACCACTCCAGACTTTTAGGGTGAAAAGAGATGTAATTGATTGCAATTATGCAAGAAGGAGTTACTTTAAACCTTCTATGGAGCAAATCTTATAGGGTATTTTCTTTATGTAACACTTAAATCTTATTAATAACTCTACAATGAAATTTGCTTAATGGCTCAAAGCCAGGAGACCTGACTGGAGATGGGGGTAGCAGGCTTGTGTGTGTGGGTATATGAAAGTTTGTGAGGCCTGAATTTGCCTGGTTTACGTGTGTAGAGGGACTATGGTGAGAGTTCTTAATGTCTGAGAAAGGCATGGACCTCTGCTTTGGATTTAATGATGGCTGCAATGTGACTCCTTTTTACTGCCTTGAATTTCTGTGAAACCTAATCTGTTTATGGAAGGTACAGGGCTCACTTGATATGTTATCCATGAATCCTTGACTTGTGCAAATCCCCAGGGAAATCACTGGAAGGATATGGTTAGTTGTGGCTAATGTTATGGATTTTCTTTTCTTTATTAAAAATTATTTTTATGTTTATGTTGTATATATGTTTTTGGTATAAAATGCTTTGTTCACGAAGTCAATTGACTCCATAATTTTGATTGCAGACCAAAGTATATGAGAACTGAGTCAAATTTCCCCATAAGATCAGCATTGAATCTAACCATTTAATTTGATTTGGTTCTCACCCAATTCAGTTTGTGACCAGAATATTGGTAAGAATCAAGTTTGTAAATTCAGGTATCACTACGTTAAATATATTTGTTATGCGGAATTGGTACATACACATATTGCATTTTGATCCAATTTATTTCTTCTAGCTACCCTTCTATGTCCCCTATCAACAGATTCTAACATTTATGTTTCTTTTATTTTTTAAAGTATTAATATGTTCTGTTTATAATCAGAAAAAACATACTATATACATATATATAAACCATATATATATATATATATATATATATATATCTGTGTTTGATTTATTTTATTTAGCATTATGGACACATGTACATTCATTTTCCTATACCTGACTCAAATTTATCCTTCTTTACAGCTGAATAATACTCCACTATGTATATACAGCACACTTTTTATCCATTCATCTGATGGTGGTTATATATGGTGCCTCTAACATTTACCTATTATGAGTTGTGCATGTAAACAAGGTTATGCATGTATCACTGTCATATGGTATCTTTAACTCTTGTAGGAAAATACCTCAAAGAGGTATAGCTGAGTCAAATGGAATTTTTGGTTTTAGTTTTTTGAGAAATCTCAGTACTGATTTCCATAATGGTTGTACTAGTTTACATTCCCACCAACAATGTAAGAGGTATTCCTTCATCCTCACAATCTTAACTGCATTTTTTTATTGAATCAGATATTGAACATGTGACCTCGTGCTTGCCAGGCAGGTGCTCATGCCACTGAGATAAATCCCCACCCCTTAGCAGCATTTTAAAAATTCTTTGTTACAGCTATTCTTTCTGGAGTAAGATAAAATTTCAGCATTGTTTGATTTGCATTTTCTAATGACAAGCACACTGAACACATTTACATATCTATTAGCTATTTGTGCTACTTCTTTTGAGAAGTGTCAATTCATTTCAATTGTCCACATTTTGATTGGGCCTTTTATTTATAGCAATCCAACTTTTTAAAAAATTTTTTCCAGATATTAGTCTTCTATCACAGAATTAGCTAGCAAAAATTTATTTTCATCTTGTAAGTTATTTCTTTGTTCTGTCAGTTGTTTCCTTAGCTGTGTGAATTTTTTGTATTTGATATAATTCCATGTGATGATTTTTGTTATTTCTTGTCCAGTTGGGTTTCTGGTCACAAAGTCCTTGCCTGTACCTATGCCTGAGGTCCTCTTCAAATTCTTGTTCACTGTTATAGCTTCTGTTATAGTGCTCTTTCACCTACTTGGTTAGGTTAATTCCAAATGTTCACTTACGTTTAGGGTTTTATGAATATGATTATTTTCATGATAGCTTTCTGGGTGAGCTCACTGCTGGTGTTTAGGAAAAATATTTTGTCTTGATTTTGTATCCTGGTACTTTGCTGAATTTCTTCATTTGTTCTAAGAGTCTTTGCTGGAGTTTTGGGTCTTCTATGTAAAGATCATGTCATGTACAAGTAAGGATAATTTGACTTCTTTCTTTCTTATTCAAACTCCTTTTATTTCTTTATCGTGCCTGATTTTACTGACTAAAGTTTCAAGTAACATATTGAATAGGAGTACAGAGTGTACATACCCTTGTCTTCTTCCTGATTCTAGTGGAAATACTTTCAGATTTCCTCCATATAGTATTATGTTGACAGTGGGTTTGTCATAAATGACTTTTAGCAGCTTAAGGTAACATCATCCTATACCTATTTTGTCAGGTTTTTAAAATTGTGAATAGATTTTAGATTTTTTCAAAGGCTTAATCTGTCTATTGAAATGATAATGTGATTTTGTCCTATATTTATGATGTATTATATCTATTGATTTATGTATGTTGAGCCATCCTTACATCCCTGGGATGATGCAAATTTGGCATGATATATGACCTGTTACATTTGCTACATTTTGTTTGCCAGTGTCTTATTGAGGATTTTTGCCCCTGTATTCATAAAGGATTAGTTTTGTCAACTCCTTATCTGATTTTGATATCAGGTTAATGCTAGTCTCCAGGAATGAGTTTGGCAGTGCTTCTTTCCTTTAATTTTCATGAAAGAGTTTGGGGGAAATTTTGGCATTTGATCTTCCCTAAAGTTCTGATACAATTCTGTGGTGAATTCATCATATTCTGGACTTTTCTTAGTTAATAAGGTTTGTATTAGTGCCTCAGTTTCATTGCCTCATGTTGGTATGTTTAGAGTTTTTTATATCGACTGGGTTAAATTTGGGTAATTCAAGTTGTCTAGGGAATTTTCCAATTCTTTTAGGTTCTCCAACTTAGTTTCTTACAGTCCTTTAGATTTCAATTGTGTCCACTGTGATTTTGCCATTTTCTATTTGTAAATGCTTTGATGTGCTTTCTTCCCTTTTAGTAAGTTTGACTGAGGGTTTGTCAATCTTGTTAATCCTTTTAAGAACCTCTTTATTTTACTGATCTTCTGTGTTGCATTTTTTAATCTCAGTGTCATCAATGTCTACTTTGACATTCTTTCCTTCTACTAGTTTTGAATTTGGATTTTTCTTATTTTTGGAGAACCTTGAGATGTTTCATTAGGTTGTTTATTTCATATAGCACTATTTTAATGTATACAGCTGTAGCTGTAAACTTCACTCTTAGGACTCTGTGTTCTATTTTGTATTTTCTTTATTATTTGATTCTAGACACTTTAAAAATTCTTTTTTATTCTATGATTTACTGATTATTCAATGATACTTAACCTCCATATGTTTGCAGAGTTTCTGTGGTTTCTTTTGCTCTTACTTTCTAGTTTTATTCTGCTTTTCATCCTTTGTCAGCCTATGTAATTCTTTTTTGGATGAGATGTGTTTCTTATAGGGAACATATCATTGTTTTTTGATGGAATCTATCACTCTGTGTCTTTTGATTGGAGGGTTAAAACCACTGACACTGGGAATTTAAATAATTGTAAGGTATTCACTGAATCCTCTCATTGTGTTACTTTTGTAGTTCTACTCCCTTTATATTTTTTTTTTCTTTTGTTTAGCTACTTTTGCAGTTAGATATATACTTTTCTTTGTGCTCCTTGGTGCTGGTTACCTCCCTTTCTCTAACATCCCCTTATGATTGTTTTGTTATGCTTTCTTAGTGGAGATGTATTTCTTTAGGGGTTGGTTTTCGTGGAAAGTCTTCTCTGTCAGTTTTGAAGGCTAATTTTTCAAGGTGCAGAAGTCTGAGCTTTAGTTGTTTTGTTTTCATGCTTAAAAACCTTCACTCCAAGTTCCACTGGTCTTTAAAGAGTTATGTGAGAAAGTCCATTGTTATTTTGATAGGCTTGTTTGACTTCAAAAATTACTTGTTGTTTTTAATCTAATATATTTTAGTCTTATTTTTGTTGAATTTCTGGGATTTTGATTATGATGTGTTATGGAGAGATTCCTTTCTGGTTGTAGCTTTTTGAGGCACTGCCATGCCTCTTGTACTTGAATATTGACTTCCTTAGTGATATTTGAAACTTTTCTGTTAGGATTTCACTAAATATTTTTGCTCCTTTTCAGTCATCACCTAATTTTTCTTTCATTCCTATATTCTCATTTTTTTCTGAGTCATGTAGCAGCTGTTGGATATATGATGTCTTACTTGTTTTTAGTGTATCACTTTAGAACATTTATTAAATAAATGTTTTTAAGTTCTGAAACTTTGTCCCCACATTGGTTAAATCAGCTATCTATGCTTTCTATTGAGTTTTTCACTCTTGATTTTCTGCCTAATCTTTGTATAATTTCTAATTCTTTCCCAAAAGATCATTATTATTTTATATTATTTAATTCAGTTAGCTCATTGTGTATTTGTTTGCAGAACATTTTATTCATTCACTCATTAATGTGTTTATTTAAATCCTCTTGAAGCACACTAAACATCTTATGAATTTGCTTATATGTTCCCACTTTGACATAATCAAACGGTTTGATCATTTTTTTTCTTAGTTCCTTGCCTGTAACTTTCTCTACCTCAGCGCTGATGAGATTGGCTTTTATAAAGCTAAGAATTTTTGGAAACATCTTGTTGCCTCGCTTTCTCATATTTCTGTTGTTTTTTATGCTGCTTGTTGAAGATCAGTTAGGAAAAAACTGTCAATACTATGAGCCCTTGTTATTCACATTCTGTCTGAGATGTGTACTTGAATTTGGTAATGTTTTGGTGTTCATACCCCTTTTCAGCCTACTCAGCACAATATTTGAAGGTCGTCTTAGTAATCTACCTTCTTCTGGTGCTTGATCCCCAACACCAGTTAGAGAAGAAAAACCTTAGTGTTAGTGATGATGCAAAGAAAAACTAGATATTGGTATAAATAAAAACCAATTATCAATAAGTATGCCACTATTAACAATAGAAAAGAAATAATATTAAGAGTCAAAGACAAACCAGATATTGACATACAGGAGCAATAATAGCAATAATAATTCTACCCTTATCATTAGAAAAGAGATATGCAATAATAATATAGACATACGGTAAATATCTACTAAAAGCAACTATGCTACCATTAACAATGAAATCAACACTGATAAAATGGTAAGCTAAATAGCTAAAAGTTAATAAACTTTAGTAGTGATAATAATAAATAGATTAGGGAAAGAAAAGAAAGAAGCAAAATTTGAAAAGAAGATAAAAGGAAGATGATAAGGAAGAGAAAAGGTGATATAAAAGTTCAAGAGAAAAATAGAGGAAAGAGAATTATGTCAAAATAATAGAAAAATAAACCAGAGAAATAAATGAAAAAATTTTAAACAAAACAAAGCACAAATGAAAGAAAAGAACCCCCCCCCAAAAAAAAACAAAGAGAAAGGAGTCCAAAAAATTGTTCTGCATTGAAGCGTTTAAGTTTCGTTCCAGGATGTGTAGTATTGGAATTCACCAGA